CCGATCTCTCTCTCTCTCTCTCTCTCTCTCTCTCTCTCTCTCTCTCTCTCTCTCTCTCTCACCATCCTCTCTCCCTTATACATTCACACATACATACACCTTTCTCATCCACTTCTCGTTTCATTTAAATTCAGTGGATTGGTTACTATTTCTGATGGTGACACATACATTCCTACGGGAACCGTGTAACCAATTACCCAAGTTACTGATAAGCATCGTTTCGTCTTCGTCAGTGAGTTTCCTCTGGTCCAAAGACAATAGCCTTTTGTGTAAGAACCCATCAAAACTTCCTCCTGATTAGACAGAGTTCTTCAGGTGGATGCATGTGTATATGTAATGCAGTTCTGTGTCCACACACGACCGGGAAGAAGCGCGACGAATCGCCTTGGTTTATGAACACTTTGCAGTACATTAGACTAATAGTCTATAATAGCCTGTGTCCAAGGTCGTGCCCTGTCTCAGCTGTCCTGCAGGGTGATCTATAGCTGGTTATACAAGTGTCCGCAACACTAAGTAGACTTGTTCTTACACTCATTGCTCAAGGACTTGTGGATAAGTACGTATACCGCGACCCCCACCCTTGGTGTAATTCCCTGTCTGACCCCTGCGTTGTTCCTACTTAAGTTTATTAGGTTATTATGTCGTTGCTTTAGCATGTGAAGTTAATACCGAGAGATATATAATTTAGTAAATAGTTTTTAAGAGATGAGTGTCTTCATAAACACATAAAATACATCACCATGAACACACACAGTGAAATCGTTCAACTTCCAGCCAATTTTAATTAGCTATACAACCATAAAAATGCACATTATTTTATTATTTTTTATTTCTGTACTTAAATGGATATTTTCGACATCATACTATTACACATTTTTCCTTTGATTAATGAAACTAAACCTTGTCTTACCTATATATTGATTGTTACTTATCCAAAAACAAAATCTCAACCTTCATGTCGTTCCTTATTCTTACGTTTTTATTTCACTCTCTCTGTGTTTTTTTCTCTTTATTGGCGTGTACTTCTTGTGAGAATGTGATTACTTGCTGGTGACCTCTATATCTGTTTCTGCCAATAGCTTGGTAATCTATGTATAGAATATTAACCTTTCTTTGTGGAGTATATCTTGTGTCGGATTGAGTTGGTAATGCAATTTAAACTATACATTGATCATACGATGTACATGTATCTGCATGTAAACGTGGACATTAGCTTAATAAACATACACTTTTGTGATGCTCTCTCCTGTGCAATACTGCCACATATTCATATGTATAAATAGATAAACCTGAATTATATATTAAAATGTATGGCCTAATTGATTGAGATTGATGTGTCAGCTGCCTTTTGTGGTTGTTAGTTATAATTAATGTTGTAATGCTTGAAACTGAACAAATGTATATACATGGTGTACATGTAGTAAGGTACAATAACTACAGGATCTACCTACTCGTAAGCCATGACTCTAGTTGTTACTGCGGTACATATGTGTTACCCCTGTGAATGTAGAGTCAGCTGGGTCTATACTTAACAGTTATCGTCGGTTTAGATTGACTGTAGACTGGCCACCGTCTCGAAAATATGGAATTATTTAGAAAAAATAGACTAATATCTTTGATTACATGGATGTCTGATACTGATTTCCAAACTAAGGGGAGATAAGCTAGTGGTACTAAGTTCCAAACTAAGGGGAGATATGCTAGTGGTAACTAAGGGGAGATAAGCTTATGGAAACTTAGGGGAGATAAGCTAGTGGTAACTAAGGGGAGATAAGCTAGTGGTAACTAAGGGGAGATCCGCTAGTGGTAACTAAGGGGAGACAAGCTAGTGGTAACTAAGGGGAGATAAGCTAGTGGTAACTAAGGGGAGATAAGCTAGTGGTAACTAAGGGGAAACAAGCTAGTGGAAACTAAGGGGAGATAAGCTAGTGGTAACTAAGGGGAGATAAGCTAGTGGTAAATTGCAGCTGGAAAGTTTTCAAAGAAACACTGGGGACATATTGATTTGTTCGTCGGCCATTTTTGTCCTGCATTATTAAGTAACATACTCCGTGACTGTGTTTGTCTGTTGACCAATGAGAGTTGTCTATGCTTAGGTATATAATATACACAGAGAAGTACGGATGGTTGTTTCCTCACTCCTAACATATTTCTATCAAAACTCATTTTGCCGTTTACCATTTTATCAAAATACTAAAAAGACACGTGGATAATAAAGGCATGATGCAACACTGAATGAAAGATTACTTTTCCCTAGCAATGTTCATTCCATGCAAATTGATTTTGCTGTTAATATGTACCAGTACATTAATATCCATATTTGCTAGTGAAATACCAAATTAGTCAATATGTTGGTTGCCCAAGATGTTTCAAAATATATTTATTGCAGATGTATATTGCTCTACGATTGACTTCAAAATACCCGTTTTAAATAATGTATCAATGCACTTCGAAATGGGCATTTGGTTTCTATTCAATTTATACATAGCGTCTGTTCAGAAAATAAATTAACACACGGGAGGTAAAAAGCTATAACAATACCAGTGGATCATCAACATTCCACGGCACAATAGGTGTCTATCGAGCGCTAATGCACCAATCTGACTCCATTGTTCACATCTACAAACATACTTTTAAAGTTTTTACAAATAAATGAAAACTTCCCTTAATGAGAGAAATGTGTACTGTCGGGGCCACTTCTGCTATGAATTTGGCTTCTTTTCCACGTAAGAAACTAGTCCAACATTTCTTTGAAAAATAATATGCATATTTTGCAATGTTTGCCTGCTCGAGTTTTATTGAGCCTGAATGAAAATTGTAATACATAAACCATAAACTTGGCTTTGTGTCTAACTCAATCCATTACACCGACCTATTCAGCTTGAAATACCGTCTTTAACGATATATTCATAAATGACAGATGTTACTGAGGCATATTGGTACAAATGTTTGCACAAGAAAATTCAATATTTTCCTCCGTATTGTATACCTTGATTTATAGTGTAATCTGTAAATTATTTCTAGTTTACAATGTACGGAACAACACATATAAATCAAAGCAATGCCCAGTGTGGTGTATATAATTGACATCGACTTTTACATTCCTGAATACCTGAACATTGTTAACCGAACAAGGTATTTCAGTTGGGAGGCATACTAGTTAATTGCTGATCAATGAAATATTGAACAGAAAATATTTAGCATACTTTAGCACGGACAAATCTATCAAAACAAAGGCGAGACACATCTGTTTTCTAATGAAGTCTAATATACATTATTGATCAATGCAGCACATTATAAAATGACGTCCGTGTTTATCGATTTCGGGACTGAGGCCATCTCAATTTACTGTCACAATGGCCGATAGCCAGGTTTGTTGGGGTATAGTTTTATGGTAAGAGATCAGTTTTCTTATTATTTAAATTAAATGAACCATATAACTCCATCATACACTTACATTGTATTAGCGCCTATTACAATGGGATTTCATTATCGACCATAATAAAGAGGTTATTCCTTGACCGACATCCCGACTTTAGTTTGAGACGGGTTTTTTTTATCATTTGGTGTCCCTAACATAAGGAAAACTCATTACATCAAATTGTGCCTCTCATTTCCCGTCATAGACGCTGTATACAGTAAGTCTAGTTAGTAAACCGTATAGCATCTTATCGGATGTTGATTGGAAAATGTTTGGTCTTTTCTCCCTGGCTGTCAGCATAGGTCAACACTAACGGTTGCTGATACTGGACCTAAAAACAAATAGTCATCTTCGATAATTTAAAGTAATTTATTATAGAAGGCGTCATTGAGATGAAATACTACTTCCTTCAACAACAGTACGTTACCCAAGCGTTATCAAGCGTAGAAAAAAGACAAAATCTGGCGTATAATACACAAATTGAAGTACAGATAAACATTAAAAGACGCTATACAACACCAAATCGATGCAAGTTGTGCGTGCATCATGACTTAAAGAGCCACACGTTCGAGCACTAATCGAATCAACAATGGCATGGCCTCGTCAATAGATTAACATGGATGTTCATTTATTACATATTTATCGAGATTAAGGGCCCAGGTCCGTAAATCAATGGCGACTTTCAGCGAACGTAACATATCGTCGAAACGTCGAATTTATTTCATGAATATTTTTCATAAAATTTGAAATAAAATAACAACGGGTTCATGTTTCGTAGATTTTCGTGTTTATTGCAAAAAGAGGCAAACAGTTTGTCAGTCACACTGGACAGATTGTGACCACATTCTCATCAATCATAATTTACAAAATATTGGAATTTCTCTTGACTATTCTTACAACAAACACATTTCAACACACTTATCTTAGCGAAACACATACATTAGGTTCCTCATACAGATATTCGTTGCACAACTCGTACATCAAATGATCTTCTGTGAACTCTCCATAACATATACCAACATATCACATCTGCAGAAACCTATCAAAATCAAATGCGAATTCAAGGCTCTGTAGATATCCTGATAATGGATATTATATCTAGGTATTCAGTGATTTCTTATTCCTGCGAACTCTTTTAGTCATTCAGCTCCTCATACTCTCTTATAAAACCGTTCACAACATATAATGTCATGACCTTGGCAACGGATGGGAGGTCACCATCCCAATATCATACGGAGGGTGATGACCTTGGCAACGGACGTGAGGTCACGATCCCGATATCATACGGAAGGTCATGACTTTGCGAATTTAAGACCGATTATATATTCAATATATTCATATTCACGATATGGGCTACCAATCCATGTCAGACACTCGTAAACAAAAAAAATCACAATCAACAAAGACATCAACAGATAATCAGATACCCCAGGCATATGAACAATAACGCGCGGGTTTCTTACTTTATTATCCTTGCCATCCTTACACCTTCGTTACTCTGTCTTTATAATACATAACATGATAGCATGTGTACCATACCTTTGTACAATAATGTTCAATTTTGCATATTAATGAGATCATTTATAATCATGGTCCTTTTTCTGAGAGACAAACAATGTTACGTGTAAAACAGCAATGGATTTTTTTACATGGCGTTCAATCTTACATTTTAGTCGAAGTTTATACAATTCACATGTTCACTCACCAAGCACTTATAAAACGTACACTGTATACAAGCTCGAAAACAGAATGCCAAAACATGCCAGAATAAAGCTGAACAGATGTAAAAGATTATCAAATTCCTCACCATAAACTGTTGGAATGATTAATAGTTTTTAAGGTATAATTTTGACTAGCAAATTTTCCCAACAAAAGTATCACAAATGGAGAAGTTTTCAATACACTCACAAAGACACTGGACAGTTTGGTCCTCGCACGAAAATATTTTTATTATCTCGTATACACCTTTTCTCCGATTAGTTGAATAAGTCATTTGGCCGACGACTTAATTCCTTTAAGGGACTGAGACTGAGACACACCTTCCCTGGAACAGTCAGCAGATACGGACAGCCAGAAGAGACGGACAAACTGATATCACATGGCCAATGTCACTCCCGCCTTTGATATGTTTGACATACGTTTAACGTTAGAAGAGACATTATGACCAAACACCATATACACATGATGTAAAATATTGCAACATGTTTGTTTTTGTATTTATTGCTTCAACTCATTTTTTGATTCTGGCAAATGAGATCAGAACAACTTAAACAACGATAATATACTTAAAGTACACCTTACTAAACGCCATGGCAAGGGGATAGGAGCACGGTGACGTTGTTATAAGCATATGTCAAAAATGTCAACAAATATTCGAAGCAACCGTAAATGATTCTGGCAGGAAAAAATGAGAGGATCATCTCATGTATCTCCAGAAAATAGAAAATAACGTAAAAGTCACGTTAATTTGGATCTCCGAACGTTCTTTTGTGTGCAATTACAACGTTCGGGAATGATCATTGTGATGCTGGTATATTTCAGGTAGAAATATAATCTTAGGTACACACCATCTTCAATACAGAAACAAATCTGTAGGTTATCACATGTTTTTTTCCAACCCAAAATAATCTTCATGGTGATATTTGAAACTCCTATAGATCCTCGTGATTTTGACAACAAAATGGCAGACAGATAACTTGTCCTAGTCCAAGTGTCCGCACAAATAATGAAAGACTTAGAATGTCACAAGGTCACTCCAGCGGGGCCGGCATTTCTCCACACAGATTCCTGAATTATGTTCAATAGGAATTCGAAAGAGAGGTAATATTCCTTAAGCACAAGCAAAGACAATGCTTAAACAACTGGAAATATGTTTTTATGTATATCACAATTTTATGTCACATGGACGTCATATGGCCTAGCAGACATCTGATGGCCGCCTGTGACGTCACGATAACATCATACGTCACGGATGAAAATAGAAAGACACGTGGGTGATGTCGGACGCTTGCACTGAATAAATACTGTATGTTATATCACATTTAGATATCGGCGCCTTCAATGTCGACCAGGTTCTTCAACATGGACTTGGCGAAAGCCATGCGCTCCACTATGTCTCTGCGGCAGCCATCTTGAATGATGTGGACCATGGGGTAAGTATTGGCAGTCCTATCCTCATCAATGTAAGTCACGAAGTAATCATTCTTCATGTAGCTCATGATGATCTTAGTGTGGTCGTCGAAGAAATTAACCTGTGTACAAAAGTATAACATTAAAATGTGTTCAATTACAAAATAATGACATAGGGTCAAAGTTTCAAACTGGGGTCAGAAAAAAATGTAAAATATTACCCTTATTTTAACCCGTACATAACAGGGGCTCTTGTCTTATTTCATTAACAGTTCAACAAATGGGGTAAAAATTAGGACCTTTCTCTTTTACCGCCTTCAGTTCAACTATCTAAACATTTCATTAAAAGGTGTGAAGACATTTATCTATCTTTTATTATCTAAAATATAACTCTTATAAATTATAATACAGGAACAGAATATATGATTCTTGACTTATTCAACCAATAAGGATTAAACATCCAAGCGTTCTAGTGAATGTTAGTGATTTGTATTCCAAAACAACATATCATGATAACGTGTTAATGAATTTCAGTGATTTGTAATCCAAAACAACATATCATGATAACGTGTTAGTACATTGTGGCTTTCTATTATACCAGATGGCAACATTTCATATAGTTCTGAAAGATTTTATATCGGCGACTGCACATTTTCCATTGATCTGTTAATCTCTCTACGAGTCTGTGGTTATGGACCATTGTTTAGTGGTATAAACATACCTGTAGTGTTCCGTCACTCAGATACAGCACGATAGCTTTTCCGGTCCGGAACCACTTTTTGAGGTAGGCAGTTCCTCCCCACACGTAGTCATCCGAGTCTCTGGACGTCTCAACGTTACCACCCTGTTAATCAGACAAAGAGGGTAGTAATTTATCCCAGAAAAACAACATAAATATAGAGCATGCTTAACGAAAATATTGTCTACCACACCAAGTCTCCATCTAAACTGTGAACCACTGTGAACCACGCCAAGTCTCCATCTAAACTGTGAACCACGCCAAGTCTCCATCTAAACTGTGAACCACACCAAGTCTCCATCTAAACTGTGAACTACGCCAAGTCTCCATCTAAACTGTGAACCACGCCAAGTCTCCATCTAAACTGTTAACCACACCAAGTCTCCATCTAAACTGTGAACCACGCCAAGTCTCCGTCTACACTGTGAAGTGTGCATGCTAATATTTCGACCGGTCAACTGACATCTGGTTGTCACATCGGACATTCATGTCGAGTTGCTTGCTAAGTTTTTCCTATGACGCTTAAACAAATTATGACAAAACGTTTTCCAAGGAATTTCGTGTGGTTGAAGTGAGTAAAGGGGCACTATATATTTTTTTTTATATATATATAAGTGACGTATTAATGCCGTGACTGCTTACCTGTATCAAGTGCTCGTCCATGTACCTCGCAAAGTACAATAGCAGTGTGGTCTTCTTCTCCAGCTCCTCTGGCACGCACTCGACAGTGAATGTAGACAGCTTCCCAGTCATGTCATAATACTGGATTGCTCTGTAACACATACACATGTTCCCATATAAGTAATATAACAAAGATGGGACTAGTGGCCACCATATTAATAGTACGTCTTAAATAGGGCTCGCATTAGTAGCATGCGTAAGATAGGGCTGCTATATTAAACATACGACAAAAACAGTGCTAACATTCTAACAGACCGCGCTAAAGCAGGACTACTAGTACCGCCTCTGTTGCACGTCTATGACAGGTCTAGAAAGTAAATAGCATGTCTAATGTAGGTCTAACATAAGTAACAAGTCTAATGTAGGTATAACATAAGTAACATGTCTAATGTAGGTCTAACATAAGTAACATGTCTAATGTAGGTCTAAAATAAGTAACATGTCTAATGTAGGTCTAATATTAGTAACATGTCTAATGTAGGTCCAACATAAGTAACATGACTAATGTAGGTTTTACATAAGTAACATGTCTAATGTAGGTCCAACATAAGTAACATGACTAATGTAGGTATAACATAAGTAACATGGCTAATGTAGGTCTAACATAAGTAACATGTCAAATGTAGGTCTAACATAAGTAACATGTATAAAGCAGGTCTAACTTTAGTAACATGTCTAATGTAGGTCTAACATTAGTAACATGTCTTATGTAGGTCTTACATGAGTAACATGTCTAATGTAGGTCTAACATCAGTAACATGTCTAATGTAGGTCTAACATAAGGAACATGTCTAATGTAGGTCTAACATAAATAACATGTCTAATGTAGGACTAACATAAGTAACATGTCTAATGTAGATCTAACAATAGTAACATGTCTAATGTAAGAATAACAAAAGTAACATGTCTAATGTAGGTCTAACAATAGTAACTTGTCTAATGTAGGTCTAACATAAGTAACATGTATAAAGCAGGTCTAACTTTAGTAACATGTCTAATGTAGGTCTAACAATAGTAACATGCCTAATGTAGGTCTAACATAAGTAACATGACTAATGTAGGTCTAACATCTAACATAAGTAACATGTCTAATGTAGGACTAACATAAGTAACATGTCTAATGTAGATCTAACAATAGTAACATGTCTAATGTAGGTCTAACAATAGTAACATGTCTAATGTAAGAATAACAAAAGTAACATGTCTAATGTAGGTCTAACGTAAGTAACATGTCCAATGTAGGTCTAACATTAGTAACATGTCTTATGTAGGTCTTACATGAGTAACATGTCTAATGTAGGTCTAACAATAGTAACATGTCTAATGTAAGAATAACAAAAGTAACATGTCTAATGTAGGTCTAATATAAGTAACATGTCTAATGTAGGCCTAACATTAGTAACATGTCTTATGTAGGTCTTACATGAGTAACATGTCTAATGTAGGTCTAACATTAGTACCATGTCTAATGTAGATCTAACATAAGTAACATGTCTAATGTAGATCTAACAATAGTAACATGTCTAATGTAGGTCTAAAATAAGTAACATGTCTAATGTAGGTCTAACGTAAGTAACATGTCCAATGTAGGTCTAACATAAGTAACATGTCCCTTCTAGGTCTAACATAAGTAACATGTCCAATGTAGGTCTAACATTAGTAACATGTCTTATGTAGGTCTTACATGAGTAACATGTCTAATGTAGGTCTAACAATAGTAACATGTCTAATGTAGGTCTAACATCAGTAACATGTCTAATGTAGGTCTAACATCAGTAACATGTCTAATGTAGGTCTAACATCAGTAACATGTCTAATGTAGGTCTAACATTAGTACCATGTCTAATGTAGATCTAACATAAGTAACATGTCTAATGTAGATCTAACAATAGTAACATGTCTAATGTAGGTCTAACATTAGTACCATGTCTAATGTAGATCTAACATAAGTAACATGTCTAATGTACGTCTAACATAAGTAACATGTCTAATGTAGGCCTAACATTAGTAACATGTCTTATGTAGGTCTTACATGAGTAACATGTCTAATGTAGGTCTAACAATAGTAACATGTCTAATGTAGGTCTAACATCAGTAACATGTCTAATGTAGGTCTAACAGAAGTAACATGTCTAGGTCTAACATAAGTAACAAGTCTAATGAAGGTATAACATAAGTAACATGTCTAATGTAGGTCTAACATCAGTAACATGTCTAATGTAGGTCTAACATTAGTAACATGTCTTATGTAGGTCTTACATGAGTAACATGTCTAATGTAGGTCTAACAGAAGTAACATGTCTAATGTAGGTCTAATATTAGTAACATGTCTAATGTAGGTCCAGCATAAGTAACATGACTAATGTAGGTCTAACATCTAACATAAGTAACATGTCTAATGTACGTCTAACACAAGTAACCTGTCTAATGTAGGTCTAACATAAGTAACATGTCTAATGTAGGTCTAATATTAGTAACATGTCTAATGTAGGTCCAACATAAGTAACATGACTAATGTAGGTCTAACATAAGTTACATGTCTGTGACTCGGTTTCCATATTAGAAGGACGTCTAAGGCAGTGTCACGATATAAATGGTAAATTTGGGATAGGACTACCATATTAACACCAAGAGTTGATCAAGACTTGGACGTGTTAGGTAGGGTCAATATTAGAAACATGTCTAAACTATGGCTACCATACCGATAACATGTCTGGGTTGTGTTTGGATTATTAGTGATTTCTAGAATATGGTCACTTTATTAGTCACACGTCAAAGACAGTGTTTTACAATATTAGTGAGACCACGGTTCAAATGCACTCATGTTGCAGATTAAATTAATGCCAAAGTAACAGTTGAGCACCATCAAAATTGTTTTGCACTTCAGAAACATCTTTAAAGTAACTACACAGACTTATGACTGTGCCTATTATATCGATTTATTACTTGCTATAAGAATGATCTTATTTGATCGATGATATTGATTCAAAGTATACTATGAGCAATGGTATTTACTATTAATAATGAACTAAACTGAAGCTCCTTATCATTGATTATTAACTTAAAGGGCCGCCCTCTATTGTCCATACAAATATGTCTTGTTTAATATTACAACATGTTTGCGCAGAATGTTTACAACATATTTTGTATTCGATCAATACTGATCTAGGGCCTACAAACACAAGGGGGGACGAGCTTTGATGTCCTAGCCTCCTTAAATATTGTCTCCAATGTTGTGACTACTGCTCTAAGTGCGAGTTGTCGGTGCGACACAGGTAGTTCTATCGTGTTTATGTGGACGGACAGTTGTCCGAGGGGCTTGAATTGTTTGGTCATTTGCGACAAGGGTCTTATATGTAATTACTTCCACCATCTTGACTTGATAACCGTTGCTTGTCCTGTCAAGGTGTTGGCCACACAGAGTAGAGGGAACTTTGTGGGCGGAAAACACGTATTCATATTTGATGATAGGCTATCTATAGATACCCGCACGACCCCGTATGTTATCGATGTGTGAAAGGGTAAAGTACTGGACTCCAGGACGACAGTGATATAACATGTTGTAAGACTTGATCTAGGAGGAAGTCTCGAATAGAGACATATTGATACGATATCAGATTCTGACTCAGAGTGCCAAGTATCATGCCTTGTCTTGTCCTGTTTGTAAGAGTATTATATCCCTGGTCGGTATATATACAACGGCAGGTAGGTCTGGGAATGTTGACAATGTTATTGGACGTCCATTGTTTGGGGTACAGATAGCTTTATAGTACCCAGTCTGCTCCTGTCGACTGTGACGAGCTATTACATTGCATACAATATCACGAACGCCACAGTGCAAGACTGACGCGAGGGCAAACCGGTTCACGAGATTAGGCCGAGTTTCGTGCATTGCATAATACAAGCCATTCAAAGAATGCTTTATGCAACGTATATGCACATAAAGATAATAAAAATCTTGACTGTGCACTTCAAGTCATGACGAATCAATTTGAACACCAACGACGCATTTCTGAGAAGATTCTACGTGTAGTCGCTATTCCTACTTAAAAGAAATATCTTATATTCACAGACAAAATCTGATCAGAGTAATTATCGAGTTTATCACTTAAAGAACAATGGTCAAACATGGAATTCGGTGGCAATGTAGAAATAAAAGCGTGCATCAGACAGATTGGGCTATACTCGTATTAAACTCCCATAACAACGCCAGCGTTCACCACGTGTAGCAGAACCCACGAGTACAATGCACTTTCCTAAAGCATGGCTATGAAGTGGGTTTTAATTCCAGGTATTATGGCTCAACTCGGTAAGGGTACAAACCCATTGTTGGATGCTGATAGCGTTGTAAGAACTTTGAGGTAAATGTATATTTCCCCTTAAATCTTTGGATTCAATTAAGGTGCGCTTTGTCGTGACATCAATACTTGGCACGTGCATTCAATGTCAGTTTAAATATTCTTCCAAAAATGAGAATGAACAGTTCTTTGATGACTGAAACGAGGCATTTTTATTTTCTAAATAATTATGAAAGCAAACTAACTCTTAGATAAAAGCTATCTAATTCGATATTAGGTTATCATAGTAAAATATTTCGTTATCTTACCTTCCGTCCGGTGACATCACAATCCGTGACGTATCATTGAAGAGCACGCCAATGGCATCGTTGGAAAGTTGAAATCCGAACCCGTATTTATTGGAATAATCCACCCATTTCGTCACCCAGACAATTGTGGAATCTCCTACGGCAAGTGGATTGCTCGTCACCTCTGCAAGCGAGAACAATACAGAGAAATCAAGAAACTGTATGAAATGATCACTATCTAAACATCATTATTTCATCAAGACTTGTCAGTAAAACAGTCGATTTTTATCGTGTGTTCAGATAGCAGGGTAGGTCTAGGGACAGTATCATCAGGATTCTAAAGCATTACCAGAATTCATAATATAACAGATGCAGACAACAGTCATTGTTTACATCTATATGTTAATGTGATTTTGTTGTTTGATTTTACAAAAGAGCAATAACATTGAGTTGACTTTAATTATTGAACAGGATGCAGAAATGACGGCAGTTCATTAAGATTTCAAAAGAAATTTACCTTTTGGCATATGTTCAAGACATGTTTGGAGAACGTCAAGCAAATTAGCGGCCGTTCGAGGTTTTGGAGAAAGATCTGAAAATGCAAACATGTAAAAATTTATAAAGTAAAGGATACCACAACTTAGCGAAATAATTTCCTGTAAAACAATATTAGTGCAAAAACGTGTTTTTTTCGTTTTATTTTGTTATTTTGTATAAGATGCTCTTTCGGTGAATTGCATCTCGATTACCTACCTCGTTGCGGTGGCGAGTCTGATCTGTCAGATCTATTCGACCTTTCTGAGACGAGTTCCCTGATAGGTGATTTGATTGGCGGGAAAGCAGCTGGAGACCCTCTGTCACTGCCCTGTAACAGTGACAAATTCCATGAGTACTGGGTGATGGAGTTGTATTTGCAGGATGAATGGGGAAAATGTTGGAAGCCTTACATGTTTTCCTATAGGGTTTACATTTCCCCACATATCTCACATTTTAAAGAACATTCGGAAAACCAAGTGTGATATGGCATATTAAGAATAATGTGAACAATGATATCAAATGATAGTTACCTCCGATGTCTTATCACTTTTGTCGGATCTTGCAGTGATTTCTACCTTTCTAAAAGGGGACGTGACTCTTTCTATAGGATCTTGTTTGTCTGGAACTGCATAGGATTTAGGTCTGAAAAAGGAATCAACATAATAGAACGATGGAACATTCCCTACAGTTTTGGAACAAATGGTACATATATATTTGCAGAAAGGCGGGTTTAATAAGAAAGAAGTCAAAAGCATAAATTTACAGGACAGAATAGACAAGATAAACTATATCTGCAGGAAGGCGGTTTTAATTTTGATTGAGCCATAAACAGTCAATTGGACTTGTATATTGGGAAACCCAAATGCACGTAAAGAATATATTTTCTCATTTTCCATTTGTATACATCACTATTCACTAGAACTTCATTGATGGTGTGTATATCGATATTCGCGTCACCTCTTGTAATATCGGGGGGTGTTTTACCCGTTGTATTAGAAGTTGAGTATCGGGTTTTGTACACTGTTGAGTTATATGACAGTTTTTTTTATTCAATAGGAAGATGGACGAACATGTACGTTTTATATTCTGTATGTCTCTGACTTCCTTGTTTCCGACATATACCCTCTCGTATACTATTGTTAGCCGTCAATTGCAATCTCTATCAATCGGTCACGTGTGCTAATACCGAACAGGTAAAAATTGTCCAGCAAGGTACATTGTTTGGAACAAAGACAACACCACCGCCTACAGGTAGCGGAATGCACGTTATTTATGATATACCACACATATATCCACACTCTGGACACCTGCCGATAATGACAAGTCTCTCATTGCGATCACTGAATATTTCATCAACTGGAGTGGTTTAATATTGATGAATAAATTATTTCCCTGTGAAGAGAGCTAAACTTCATTCTTGTGATATTCAGGTAATAGAAACAGATGGTGCTTGTTGAATATATACACAAGTTAATATGAAATGACTTTACTTATGGCCTAAAATTATATTTCTGGTCACGTGTCGTTAGGTACATGCAGCTGCGGAAGCTGAGGTCAGTGAAGTTAGCACGTGCCGTGATTTTAATCGGTAAAAGTCAGCCACAGGTGCTTGGCAAATGATATTAACAATTCTGTATTAGGACTAGTATTAATGTGTCCCGTCCCTCAGTGATGTCAACGTTATAACACTATACTGGTAATATCTGCTTTTAAGAATCTTTACTATCAGCCTTTTTAATAATCTGTTTCCTCGTTATATTTGTCTGGGATAGTTTTTCTCCTATACTGCTAATCTGGTTTGAAGGTTTAATATCGATCGGATCGCAAGGGATAGTTGTCTATCTCTCTAAATACAGACTGAGACTTAGTCTCACCTTCATGTTCACAAGTCTTAACATACAACACATGCGGTAAACTATCCTGCGAAGAAATAGTAGCAGGTACGGTATACTGTGTAGGATGATTTAGTAGGCCTACCAAGAATTCAGGGATCCATGACTAATTTAAAACACTTAAAAGGTTCAAACTTTTTTTAAATATATATATATATACTGTCGAATGCTTTAAACCCATTACCTAAAAAGATTATTAAGTTAATGTCATAACACAACCTTTCCGCACCGTATTATAAACCAAAGGAAATGGCAGTGTACAAAATGTGCTGTATGACTAATATCAGTACAGTATTCATCTTTTAAATTGGCAACGAAAAGTGTGCGTACGGTATTGAATCAACAAATCTAATAATGTACCCAAGTATGTAGTAATACACATAGCTTATAGAATAATTATTTACAAGTATGACGAATACATTTCTAAAGCAAATGATAAGTGTGTGCTTAGTATTAGCCCACGCGATATATACCTATATCAAGGTATGCTAACAATTTAAGGTAGAATCCCACGCTATACAATGCCTGACATACCTCTGGCAGCCCCACTTTATCTGTGTATATCTATTGTGGTACAATAATCTACAAACCTGCTATTTTATAGATACATATATTTCGATCGAACAATTGAGCGTATGATAAGGAGAATCTACCTTACACATTACCTACATACCTGTTGATAATTAGGATATAGTTAGAAACAGGTAATATTTGATACCATACTTAACAGAAAGATTCCAAATGTCTAATGGTTGACAAGAATTAACATTTAGTTCATACCAAATATGTTGGACCACCATGGGTATTTTTCACACGCCAATAAATTGTATTAACATCTTATTTTCTTTTCAACTTATGAAATTCGACCAAGGATTAAGTAAATGACCTTGACATAAGTACACTGGGTCTTGGAGAATATCAAACACGAACGATTAGAAACATTCCGAGGACATTTAAAGTTAAATTGACATATGCATATAAATATAATCTCTATTCAAAACAAGACATTTACTGTGTTGCTGGTGAATATTTTGGGCACTGCCTCAGGAAAGAAACGACTTTCGCTTTTTATTTTTGCTAGGTAAATTCGTATATTCAACAGGTAATTCCTCTGACGGCTAAGGTGGCAATAGTTGATCCGATTAATCTGCTTATCAGTTTACAAACGGATTATTCCTATTATGTGTTTACCGCGGTATGTGGAGTATGCTGACATTTTGGTTCGTACATAAACCATCAGATTATACGGTTGTCTTTGTATGTAGTTTATATATATATGGTTTAACGTTACGCTTTAATTAAATGTCTTAATGTATGAAAATGACTATTTTTGGTTAATTATTTTAACTTCAATCCATCAATCAGTCATGACTCTTGGTTAATATAACGTAAAATCTTAAATCAAACTTTTTGTCGAAAAAAAACACATTTTGTTTGACTATCATCATTTAACGAATTATTTGATAATCAGAGTTCATATACGACCGTATGGAAGTGCATTAAATGGTCTTTCGCTGAATGCATTTTAATCAGAGTTCAGATGACATGAAATAATTGCAATTCGTCGCTTTAAAAGTGGTCTTCAACATGACAGGTCTTTTAATAGAAGTAGTCTCTCTTGCAGGGTTGACTATAATTATTTGTTATTATATATATATCATATTATTAAGTATGTATCGGTATTCAGAATTTAAAGCTTCTGTTCCACAAGCAGATTGAGAAAGCAATTATAACCTCGACACCACTTTGACAGGAAATTACTATGTGCTTTAATCTCAAACAAAAAACATGGTCTATTTTTCTCTTTTATTTTCTTCCCTAAATATTTAAGGAATGTCAACAATCCTATCATTTTGAGAAAAGTTTCCTTGGAGTCAAGAACTTTCTCATGAAACTTAGGTCAATAGGGAAATTATCAAATAATCTAATAACTTTTAAATGTAAATTTTATCGTTAAATCCTTCATTTTGATAGAATTTACCACCGTGCCCAGATGTCTTCTTCCCTGAAATGACTATATTAACATTCCATGCATATTGAAATGTTGTCACGAAATAATTACCTGTTAAATTTTGTGTACACTGGGAATTTCGGTACCGCATTGCAACATGAGGAAGGCAACGTCTTTGGCAGGTATCCGGAAGTAAAGAAATCGTCTGCCAGAAACTGGTCTAGACTGGGACGGAGTTCTGGTTCCGGCGTGAGACACTTTTGGATTAGATTTTTGGCAGGACCGGATATTGTGTTCGGCAATACGTAAGAATTTCCGGTGATTCTGACGTATGTTTCTTTTAGCGTTGACGTCTCAAATGGTGGACGTCCTACCAATAAGGCATACCTGTTGAAGAAATATTATTGTTGTGAAAGTAAAAACTATAAGATAGATAAAAAATAAAGGGCAAACACACAAGAACAAAACTAGACCTCTATATAATATTAACACTTGCCTGGTTCAAGTGCAGATCACAATTAATGTGTGTAGCGCGTGTTGTCTGTAAAACCCCGTTCTGTAATAATCTTCAAATGATTCCAAAGGCGTCATGATTGTTATCTGTAAGATTCATCTACTCCATAAGTTTACATTATACAGCCTTTTTAGAGCCTGTAGCTAGTCAGCTTTGTTATTTGACTGTCTTCTGTACAAAATTGAAGACCTGACAGTGAAAATATCGCATAACCATAAAACTTACATTACACATCCGAGAGCCCATACATCGGCTTCGTAACTGTGACCTCGTTTCTGAAGTACTTCAGGTGCAATATAATTTGGTGTACCGCATACCGTCCTGCCAAAAAATATAACGAAACATAAAATTCTAATTCGCCGAGATTGCACATATAAATGATACTTTCATGAATAGAAAAGTTACAAACATGTTGCAAAATGGAGTATAATTTATTGTTTCATACAAATTTAGCAGTTTGGTCGAGATGATTAAGCAGAGTGCTATTTTGAAAATTTCTTATTTATCAATTTAGTGGTCCATTTTATTAGAAGTGACCTACATTTTCTTTTCTCCTTCGTAGCCGATCTTTGTGGCTAGTCCAAAGTCAGCTATCTTGAGTTCCATGTCCTCGTTGAGGAGCATGTTTCCGAGCTTGAGGTCCCTGTGTATGACGTTGTGACTGTGGATGTATTTGACGCCCTCTACCAGCTGACGCATGTAGTACCGAACTTCGATTTCTGTGAGCATCTTCCGGTGTTTGAGCATGTGCACAAGCGACTGAAAGAGCAACGACATAGAAACGTTTACATTACCTACCAATCGGAAAGAGCTCAAATTTCATTTTAAGTAAAGGCAAACTTGTTCTATATTCAGTTTTCAAAATAGGTTTAGATAACTTCTGCGGACCTCGTCGAAAATATATAGGAGATATAATGATCGGTAATGACGGGGAATCAGACATTTTTATTTCGTTTATTACATACATGCATCTCAGTATCCTAATTACAAGTGGCCGATTATAAACATTTTGACTGTTGGTTTGTTTTCACAGAACGCATAAACAACTGCATAAAGATGAACATCAGTTTTGTATGGATGTCATAGGCGACCCAAACGGAAGGTGGATGGCTTTGATTGGCAACGGTAGCGAATCCGTGCTGGAGATAAGGATGGCATCATATTACTGCTAAGTGGCATACATCGCGATTCGTTTCTACTCTTATCGGGGTCCAAGGAACTCTCGACTTGTTCTTCCGACGCCACATAAAACTTCATTAAATATTACACGTTATACAAAGTAAGGGTGCATCTATCCTAAACTATCATGAAACTGACGTGTATTGGGATCCTAATTTGCAGCCAAAGTGGAAGCTATGTCAAAATATATAGATATTTCTTTCAGTGTAACGTTCGAAAAGTCTATGAATAGAAACTAGACACGTTTAACTTCACACTATCAATAACAGTTTATGATCTCTCGATCATATGCAGTATATCACATGTTATCATGAGCCGGGCATGTCGAGAGTATATTTTCTTTATTGTCTTTGTTCGTCTGTCAAACATTGCCATGGACTTACAACAAAATTATGATAAGCTACATTTACAAGTCCACTCTAGAAGCCAGGAGATGTTTGCTGACTCGTCAGGTAAGCGTTAACGTGATGCATAGTCATGAGTAGTCATATCTGGTCGTACTAAACACCGACCGGACGAGATAGGCTCTGCGGAATACCAACCTTCTACAGATAACCGTTATCATACAAAAAGACCTAGACATACAAGTTTAAGTCCCTCGCCCCATCGACTTCAAATTTAATTGCCACTATCGACATTTAATCATGGCCGACCTAGGTTTTACAAGGGTGAAGCATGGGTTCCATATGAAAAATAATTTCCTTGGTAAAAAAAAAAATCATATTTATCGCAATTTAGTATCCTGTTTACCGCCCTCTTTAACCTTGTAAAACGAATTGATAAAATATGAATATTTATGCATAAATTGTGTACGATTAATGTCTGTTTCCGTGTATTTAGAAGTGACGTTAGAGATATAGTGTAAGACAGATTGGATTTAAATTTCAGTTTCAAAACTATTTTATAGCTTTAGATTGTGCAGCACTATGACTGAGCACTAGGATATGACAAGCCTGTTGCTTCAATTCAATAGTTTGAATATTTCTTTCCCTAAGTATGAAAGACTATGTCTGTATCACAATTTAGAGCATGATTGTACTGAAGTATTCTACTTATAAGTATGATCTTAATTTGATGGATGAAATAGAAAACCAAACAAAAAGAACCCTATGAGTGCAAGTTTTTGGTTTTCAAAACTGAAGTCAGTTCACATCACGTACACGCCAGCTGTACTAATATATAACTTGGCTTTCTTCATTGGAAACATTTTAATTCAGCTGATCAGTAGTGTGAAATTGAACATTAGCCAATCTTCATATCAAATTCTATAAAGTGATTACAAATACTTCATTGATAGAAAATAAAGATTAAAATTTAATTTTGTCGCTGTGATTATGACACATTCATCATTCACGTCACATAAATGTTCAATCTATAAACGATAGTTCAAGAATTCTGACACATAATTTGTAATAATCTACAACTAAGAGACAAACCAGAAGTATTTGATCATTAACGAAGGAAAGGAAACGTGTCATTAACAAGCTTTGATATTTTTTGTGACCCTATTGAAATCCGTTGAAGTGTAACGGTTTCCTTCTGATAAAGAATCCGATTTACTATATATTATGCGTCTTTAATGTCACAACTGTGCCGCTTTAAATGAAGACATGGAAGAGAGGTTTTCGTATTGTTATCTGCCAAACAAAATACAAATCCTATTAGACTTATTTTCATCATACCGTCTATATATGGTTGTGTGCTCTTAATTAATTACTTGGGGCTCCGTATTAATGTTTGCTTGTTACGAACAATGACACCGTTAGCTTGTCTACCTATCATAATAAAACATTGCCAATTATATCAAGGGAGTACTTGAAATTGCCTTATCGCCATCTTACACGTTTGAAAGTTATTCAAGTATCAATCTCTCAATAGAATATTTCACAGTGATTTAATCTCCGAAAATATTGCATGGATTGGATGTTCATGTGTACATAGTTATGTAATTCAACAGCGTTTATTGACATTTGTTTTAGATAAGCAGCGAGTTGTCAACAGTTCTTAAGTATACCAGAATTAATAAATGCTGCGTATAGGCAGACAAGGACCTTTCGTCTCATTGCTGGCTATATAATATACTGGTTAGGTAAAATCGATAATCGTTATTTACAACATGATCAAGACATCGCCAGGTAAAAGCACAGGGTGAATAGAAGAATCAACAGGTGCGAATGCGGAGTTCGGCTTACACATTTTAAAAAACAAACACCTGACATTTTATGTTCCTTATAGCAAGGTGTCCCCAACTATTTTTTACATCTTGATAAGTCGCCCCATAAACTGCCACTAAACACAGTGCTTCCTAGTGTTAATGAGCCGTCCCAATAAGTGTAAGCAAGGTCATGTCCTATGTGTGGCAATATCAGTTTCTTTTAAAAAAAATGGAAACAAACAAAACATCATAGTCAATACGACTTACAGTACATACACACGCGATCGGGGCACAACCCCCGTGGGAACATTTCTGACGTGAAAGTCACTTAAGAAGGTCATAATTACAATTCAAACAAACATATTCTGTTCTGAACTGTAAACAGATTTTCTCAAAGATGAATTTATAATAAAATTAGGATCCTCGCATCAGTGAATGCTTAATTATTTAATCCTAGGGGAAGTTTGACATAGAAATAGGCGATCCGTCAACGCGGTGTACGTTTATTTGGCAGCTGTTAATATGCAATCATGTGCATAAGTTGGGACATGATATCAAACCCGATGTCCTCAACCGCCGATCTTTTTTTTATCTGAACTGTCTCTTACCACACAAACCTTCCCTGTTTATGTATCATTTTACCCGAATTTGTTATGCGTGAAAAAAATGTTTCGAGTTCTTTTCTTTTAATGTTATCATATAACCTCAGGCCTCACGTGGAAAAGGTATTTGGACAAGTTGATGCGACACTTCCGGTGTCGTGTATCGCAAATTGTAATATATTCCTATTCCCTTCTTTGACCTTAATAACATATAAACATGTATACGAGAGTTGGTTTGGTTACTCTCACTATTTCAACTATTTTAGATATGTAACATAAAAGTTGTTATTCTCTAACTGTTGAATAATGCTGACGAAGTCGCCTGCCTTCTGCTACCTTGGGCAATTACGATTGAATCAGATTGCAATGCCACGTTTTCAAAATGTGACATAATCCGATATTTCCATAAAAAATATGAATATTTCTGGTTTCAAATCGGATCAGTTGTAACCAGCTGTCAAAAGTTTTACACATCTTTACGCACAAGTGAACAAACTATTTTAAATCTGGACATCTTGTAAGAAATGTCAAATGTATGTTTTTTGTTTTTTGCTGTTTGATATATCATGATGATTCTTGATTATATAACCTACTCTTGTTGTTTTGTGTCTAACTTTTGTTATTGTAGGCACGACATGTCTTACATTGTTTTTCCCATTAAACAGATAAGCTATTATACTGTACACGAAATAGCGCTCACAGTGGTTTACTCGGACATGTTTATAGACAAGAGGGATTGAACTCTGCTGACCTTTCTACTGCAGTTTTCAAGCACCAGGTACACAAATTCATCGTCTTCAAAGAAGCTATGGAATTCTACGACGTTCCTGTGCTTCATGTTCCTCTGTAGTTCGACCTCTCGAATGATCTGAAATAAAACAAAAATAAATATAAGCAACTACTTCATAAGTGATAGGAGACGTGAATCGGAACCCGTCAATAAATTTTTCTCGTAGCCATTATCGATATATATATGGCAAGCCCAGGTGCCTTTGTGTACGAACTGTCATGGCCGACAATTTCCTTCTATGATAGATTGCCTGACCTAGACAGAAACCGTTTATGTCGACCAAATGGCTGTTTCGTTCGATTTATGGGCATATACATGATCGTTTTATTGAGGAATATGATTCAGGATGTTTGTATTTTATACAATCCTTGTGTTGAAGTGAGCTACAAAGACCAATCGTGTACAAGTTGTCTAATGTCGACAAGGTTTGATAAAAAAAAATGCAATTATGCATAATTCTATTTGCCATTTATTTTCATTTTCCTTAAGGGATATTTCCTTTCAAATAAATCGCAGTGTACATGTACTTCAATAATAGTCGAGGGGTTCTGAATGTTTTATATTATTATTTAACCACCCCTAAATTAATCTGTCTGGGTTTATTTTACATGTCAAAGACAAACAAAATGTCATTCGATCTCAATCGGTTGAAATTCAACCAGACAAGCAGGTATGAAAGGACATGGCCCGATTGTCCTATATAATTACCTGTCCATAACATCAATATATCACTCTCTCTTTGTACTATCGCTAGTCTGACAAGTAATCTGAGATTTCTAAACGTAAAATCCTTTTACCGTCTAATAAAACATGCAGCTTTCTGCACCTATAGACCTCTACCTTCAGAAAAGTTATGGCCCTCCCCCCACCTCTCTCTCTCTCTCTGGGCGACACAACACACTGGTATATAATCTTTATTTAAAGTCGAGACGTCTAAATCCATAAACCTGATGAGCACCATACCTGTAATTATCTTAATTGCCACTGGAATAGGTTACAGATTGTACAGGTAATCGTCGAGAACAATACACAGCTACGACGTAAGGCTATTTATATGGAATATGGAGTTTGCTGGTCATAACATTGCACAAGACGGGACAATATAAATACACGACAGGACACGGGGCACTACACTCCGAGCTATCACTATCGATTCAGATCACAATACACGCTGATACCACTCCGCCTTTTGGTCACGTGAACATGTCGTTCAACATGTCCGCCGTTCTTTGATCACAGCACCGTAAAACATTAAAACTAAGCGATGATATAGAAATAATTACAATGGTATGTTTTACTTTATTCCGAAAGGTACTTTTCATTCGTGGTAGACAAATTTGTGAGCTGGTCGATAAGGCGACTTCCGGTACAGTCACATCAATAATTTTGATTATCTAATGGTTACACTAACGGGAACGGGCGGATATGGGTACTATTTTATCTATCGTTTATCAACAGCTCACTGCTTATTGCGGTTTATAACGTCATTAATATCGTGAGATCTTAACATAACCCATTAAAGAAATTGAAGAACTGTATTTGAGCCTCTTTCTTTTCAGGATTTGAGTCTGATGACATCATCTCAATACCAGATTTAATTTCTTACATTACCTATAAATCCATTTAAATGTATTAAAGTGAGAAGCTTGTAGCTTTACATTACGTGTAAGTTTCAGTGTCCTTTGTCTATGGACGCAACAGAAGCATTAACATGTGTGTTTACCTGTTATAACTAGTGAAGCGTGAACACCATAGAAACGTCTGCATGTTGTACACAGACTCACAATGGAGTTCTTTGACCAAGAAAACATAAACGTTTACTCTTTGAAATGACAAAAGGACGAAATAGATTCAGTGTTTCTATTAACTCTTTACAAGTTTCTTTTCTGGAGACAACCCTTTCAATGGTCGTGGTGAGTTATGCTGCTAAATTCGACACACATTGAGATAAAGGAGACCAAAACCATTTGGACGTTTGGCACAAATGTGACTCAAGACTACTAAGTGGCGTATCCGTTTTGTGCCAGTGATCATTTTCCCGAGTGAATAGGCTAGCGTACACAAAGACTTTTAAGACGCTTTTTTCTTTTCGAGTTCTTTCCATCTCCTTATCTAAGTAAAGAAATAATTACATATCACACGCTTTAATCTCTGTTGACGTGTGTCAGTTATACACGACTTGAAACAGTCGTGTTTAAATTAGCTTATTTATTTTAGCATACATAACATATGGTCTGAAATACTTTAACAGCGTTGTGGTGATACACTAAACGTTGTCGGTTTTTAGCCAGTGTATATCGGTGAAATGCGATCTTAAAATTCTATTTTCTGACATGTTTTCGAATTGGTATATCATCAATCATAATTTAATATGCATCTGTCATTTTATATATCGAAGAGTATGCATAATAAGTCTAATGTCTGGCGTGGAACAGATAAAATACGAGTTTTTTTTAAACAAGACAGATGTGTTATCATATCTTACTATTGACATTGAACGTAATCAGATGTTGACACAATGTATATAATACCTGAACGTCCTACATAATATAAGTATTTACATTATCTGCATTGTTATGTGTCAGTTATGCAATTTGCATCTGTCTATTTCCATCACTCGGAAAATGCATGAGACGAGCAATTATGTGATCAATTTCAAAACTAGTTTTAATCTTCTCGGATACAAATAGAAGTGTCTCGGCTATTGTTTACAGCATGTTCGTGCTAACCTTCCCTAGTTCAATGGACAAACGAATTTACATTTTATTAAAAAAAAGGATTCATAACAAATAAAATGCAAATGAACGTGTTTTCGTTCGCAATTTTTGTATACCTTTATAACAGTTTAAAGCACACTCATGGCTAACCTCCTTTAGTGTAACAGGTACCCGCCGACTTTAGCCCACATTCTGACGTCAAATGTAATCCGCTTTAGTTGGAAAGCGGCAATTCACTAATCACATTTCAATAATTTGTGTTCTTTAGAAATATCATTAAACCATCACAACAGCCTACAAAGACCGACTTCTTTTAGTACTTAATTTCATATGTCTGGTTATAATACTAGGATCGTTCAGCAGGTAGCAGCCGTATTAAATGCAAGCTAATCTTTAAAACTGTCCTCATTTATCCAAAATTATAATCGGTAATACCCCTATTACAACATATCCTTTCATCTAAATTTCGGTATAGGATATTTCATACTGAATCATTTATAACCGAAAAACACAGCGCTCATTTGTGTTAGTCTACGATTTACGGAGCCCACATAAAATAAATTACTTCAGATAAACACTGATTTATTTCCTACTGTAAACTACGAGTCAAATTAATAGGTAACGATACCCGTTATTCCCCATAGGCTAGCTATAAATCGATGTCTCGTCGGGTTAAACTGTTTCGGACAATTATTCTACCTTTGTAGTTATTGGCGAGCTCGTCCTTGGTACAGGGGCACGGCCATAAAGACCGTGGACGCCCGACTCGGGACGTACCGTATAACAATAGGCCTCTTGCTCTGAGGGACAAATTGAAATATAACAGAAGAAACGATGAATTGCATTGATTGTCCTGAGCTCATAAAACTTGACCACAATGGGTAAAGGCATTGGGTCCTACACGTCGGAACAATGCCTAAACTGTCAAACCATTCATCTGGGTATCTAGTGAAAGTCGGTTCAATGCGTTTTGTGTTGAAAAAATGTGTCAGTTACTTGTATCTATAGAAAAACAGCAGTCGCAAAAATGTGTGTGTTTTGTCTGTCATATTGAGACGGTTTCTCCTGTACGTTTACAGTAGGCTGGGGTGTTAAGATTCCTCCGATATGGCCAAAACTGATCATGTTCTGATAATATCGCTTTGTCAAGTAAATCTACCCTAATACAGGAGTTTCAACCTGTAATTAAAGCTTTAACCGGGTGTAGCAATCATTAAAAACTGTCATCGGTACAATCATTGATCGTTATAGCTAAAACACCTAACCTAACATTTCTTACTCAGGAAAACAATCTTTTAATCTCATCAGATAATCACTCTAACAGTTTAGGTATTCGTTTTGTGACAAGATTTCCCCGTTTTCCCACCGTTTGTCACATGTTTAATTTAGCATGACGTGCTCCTGACATGAAAACAATCCAATTACTCAATCGAAGACGTTAGAAACCTCCCGTCATCGAGAGAGGCACCCCCGTGGAGGTTGGGTAGGTGATATGTTAACTACACTGTCTGATGACTCAGATCACGTGTTAAACATCCCCTAAGGTGAAAGTTCACGAAATTCATTATCATGTCTGTCCAAGGACGTAATGACCAAAGCCCATGGCTATTCCCTATGGTCGGTGGCCATTGTATAAGCGCTTTCCCTTAGATGTCTCGTTTCTTGGGATTTTTGAGTAAAAAGCCATGAGTTAATTTCCTTGCTCCAACAGATTCTCTGTATTATCTGTATTTAAAACTTGATGGCAATTTTATGAATGCCCGACACTTCCTTTTCATAAAACATATTCTCGATCACCGGCGAAGATTTTATCATTTCCGGTCTAGCACGGCCGAGCGAGTCCAAGACACCCTTATGATTTGTTGGATGCCTGGATGGTCATGGTTGATTCACCACAAATTGGACAAAATTACATGTGGTGTTATACGTGAAATTGACTTATGGGCATAGGACCAGCGGTATTTTATTTGATCTATGTAAAAGTATACAGATGAAGATTCCGAACGGCACAAATAAGAAAAGACATCGATCTAGATTGGGTAGCCTGTGTCGTATACTGGTGTAAGTGTGTAGAAGGAGTGTACGAAAATGTTAAAGGATCGACGTTGTATACATGCCAACATATATACGAGTTCAGAGGGGGGCATAGGGATGATTTGGTTTATCAGCAGATACACAATCTCGAACTACGTGCCTCTTTTGTTCATCATTACAACACGCTGACAAGACGTACAGTCTAGATCCTATCAAACCATTCTTCAGCAAATTATAACGTACAGATATTATATAAAAAGTAACCTTCTTTTGAAATAACGGTGAAACTGGTGCGTTTTTTCTCGATACAGAAAGCAGTTTACGTGCCATCGATTTTAATCTATGAAGGGTATTATACACGGTTACAGACCACGTCTAACTCGCCATTTCCTATCGTGAGTCATACCCAAAACTCAAAGACGATCGAGTCTACCCTGATTAACATGCCCTATATCTCAATCATTTTCTCTAAAGTTGTTCAATATTTGAAAAGGTAGTGATATTAACTGACTGGCAAAGAAGACCGGAAATACGTTATTCTGTTTTTCTAAAGCGTCAGCAGACCTAGCAGTCCTATTTTCTGTTAGCTTAATGAGATGTTTCCGGTTTTATGTTCTTTTAAAAGTCATATATTTTAAAACAGATTTGAGTTTTTGAATTTCTAGTCGATAAGAATCAGATAACGTGAAGTTGATAATACTTTTAAACAAGTTAGTTACTGGTCATTGCAAGCTATAAAGTAGTTTTCATATTCCTCGACCATACTGACCAGGTTTGGGTTCTAGTTACCGGTGGTCCCTATTTTACCTGCGCTGGGAGTTACACTGTGACATAACTACCGGCCTTCGTTCGTAACCAATACCTGGCGCAATGTTCTACAATGTCGAAGCATCAAAACACTGCCGCAAGATAGTGAGGAACACGAGCAATTTACATTAACATTACATATGGGAGTTTTAATCCTGAGGTTATCGAGGGAACATGTCGGGAGAATTAAGACTGTCTGAGACTAGGTCAAAACATTGCGCACCTGGCTACAAGCTTTCACCGTATCAAATTAAAGCGAGATTTATTCCACGTTAATTTTGCAGATGTTTGGTTCATATTGACACGATAGCTGTGTCCGTGAATCATTTTACTGATATGAATGTGGTAAGCCGATATTTTTTTATTTAAATATACCCACAACGAGTCAGTTGACACTGGAAGGTTCAAGTAAAGACGAGGTAGTTTTTCTTTGCATCACAATGGCTATCCATTATTCTTTAAACCCCCTACTGTTTTTCATTTGAACAAGGTTATTGACATAAATTTGCACACAAATTAGCAAATCCCAAATATCATGTGACTTCCAAATCTTTACCTTGACTCCGGCAGCAGGCACGAAGCTGAAGCTGATTGTTTGATATCAATAAACCATATAAGATAATTACCTTCTGTCTTTGGTGGGGCTTTGCTATCCTCGTTTTGGAAACAATTTTCCCTGCATAAATTTTATTTGTGTTTAAATCCAGCAATTCATAGCATCGTGCGAATCCACCCTGAAAAACATAAACAAACAAACATGAATGATCAATAACTTGCCATGAACAAGTCGTCAAAACCAATACGAACATTAACAACATCAGACATATCTAATGGGATATTTCTCGTTTCAAACAGGATGTCATTTTATTGAAATTACCCAATGATTTGCTTCGTTTAACGCTCCTCTGGCGTGTTATCCGCAAAGCATTACTATTTTCAGTTTGGCATGACTCCATGCATTTGATACAGGCGAAGAGAGATTGGTGATTGCAGACTAAAACAAGTTTATTACATGATCAACATGAGATTCATTTGTTTCTATTCTTAGTTATCGTTGGGAATAAACAAACATATAAATACATTTCATGTTTAAACAAACAGATAAGATAAAATCAGTTTTTCATATTTTGGTTTTGTGTAAACGTTGCACTGCGCACGCTCCTAACGTTTCGTTATTTCCCCGAGATCTGGTTTGGACGCAATGACTTATTATATGAATGTTGTTTCAATCGATAAGAAATTAATCCTAGTGTAATCGCAATTATCTGTAATGGCTTTAATAAGTGACATCATAGCCAGCTAGGCTTCCCTCTAAAACACAGGCTGGTTCAGAACAGTGCAGCTACACACAACTATGTCAACAATAAGTGGCATCATAGCCAGCTAGGCTTCTCTCTAAAACAAAGGCTGGTTCAGAACAGTGCAGCTACACACAACTATGTCAACAATAGGTGTCATATGATGCAACTACTGAACAAACACATAGATGGAAAACTGGGTCAGTCTGTTTAATCTTCATCAGCAAATCTATATAGCGATACATTATTTTATAAATACTGATAAACTATCCAAATGGGTTGATCACGACTGAAGATAAGATAACCTGACACGCACAAGTTTACACTACCTTGACATTTATCATATGCAGTTGTACGTTATGCTGTTTGTAACTATGCAAAATGTATTACATGTGATCATGTTAATTATTGAAAACTTATCGATACAACCGAAACTTCTGTGTGAGAGTTTCTTGTAACCTCACTAACGCTATTGACAGGTCCCCAAATGCCGGACGCGAATCCGATAACATAGGCAAGAGTCGGACACAATTTAGAACCCTTTATGAGCATAGATTTCAAAGAGTAATTATTGTCGGAAACAAAAGCGGTATCGGTCTTCACAGATCGTCACTGGCGATAGGCACATGGAAACTACTTCTCAAGTGTTTAGGGTTAAATTCAATTTGTCTTGACTTTTAAATTTCAGAAACTGAGAAACTGTGAAAAATTTGAGGTTTGGGTATCACGCCTAAACGAATCCACATTCCGTTGTCATCACGTCAACAGTATCGTGTCCAGAACGATTCAATAGATCATGAAACTTTAACCCAGCAATCGTTCATCAATCGATGAACCGATTTCTAATTAATTGCAACCCTGACTGGTTTCAGACAAGGGTTGTAAATATGCATAGGTAAGTATGTAGACTAGCCAGACCACCACCTGATCGAGCTCAAGTAGCAACTGGAATGTTGTACATGCCAATTTCGAGAATTAATAGTCCCCGTAACAATACATCGGATCAATGGCCCTAGATAAACGGGCGGCCATCTTTGTGTCGCGTGCAGACCTTACATTAAAGGTATACTCTAGGGTCAGTTCGGTCGCAGGCCACACAAACAGATAGGAAACGAACTGACAGAACCATGTCTGGACCGGACTCAAATTAAACGCTGAAATCAGCAGTCATGATTATGGAATTTAAACAGAAACAATAGACACAACATTGGATGTTAACCTGCGAGTCTTATACTGTTTTCCCGTTGGTACTGACGAGAAGTTTCACTTCATCTTCTAGTTAACATTCATTACTGTGCCTTGAATAAACGAACATCTTGAATTCTGTACAAATTTCAATGAAGCATCAAACAAAACATGACTGCTCAGCAGATGTGTTCCCAGGAAAAAATGGAAGCCCGATTCATTCAGGAACACAGAATACAATATGTACAATTTCATGTAAAAAAAATACTCAATAAGTGTCATTTTTTATGTGCCTTTGACAAGATGTCAACGAACAATGCCGAATGATCTAGATGGTATGCAGATAAAACATATGTTGCCACACAGAACAACGTTTTTCATTGGTTTTTTGTTTTAATTACAGAACGCTTGAATAAACAATGTATTTGACAGGTATCGTAGTCTGGTAATATTTGACTCTCTATCCATACCCACTCGTTACCGTACGAATTCGAGCAGACATTTTTGTTGTAAGCCAATATGTTTTTACGAATGGATCAGTCGGTAATGATACTGTGCTAAGTACGAGATAATCGTGAGAATGCCACCTGTATTCCTTAGAATACAGACCTAATCACTAAACAAGTCCAAAGTGGTTCTAATGTGGTGAACTAGAGTTCAGCATAATACAGATAGAACTAGCGCTCTACATACATTTCTCTACATTGTTGATCTCTCGCGCATAATAGGGACAGTCCTGCATAGCCTATACATAACCTCTAGATCATATCATAATTTACTCAAATTATCTGGTATGCTTTGTATGAAGTTTTTAACACCAACTCGGTACTGTTTGTGCAGTAAATGAAATATAAAATTCGTTTTTCAAATGACGAAGAGACCTTTATGATAATACAAACAAGGACTGCTTTCCCACGCCCCTAAATGAAGGTCATACACAAGGGGTTGTGAAGTGATTTCGGAAGACATTCCTTTAAGGACTATTTTAACCCTAATTTTTCACGAGACAAGCACGGACCACGAGACAACAGGCGGTGAAACAACTGTAGGGATAAGGTTGCATAATCATACTATTACAACATGCTGTAAGGAGTTACCAAAAAAACTGAATCGACCTAAAAGTTTTCACACGCTCATCTGGAACCAATTTACCCCCAGCGGGAGTTGTTTAGTTCTACTTGATGTAAGCGGAGGAAAAAGTGTCACATTAACAGCAGTAGCTACAACAAACTGATTTCGTCATGTCTTCAAATAAAAGATGTTCTGGTGAAATTGGATATTTCCAACACTTTCATCAGAACACTTTAGTGGCCTGATTCAACCCTTCTGTATATAGAACATGTGGATAGAATTGAAATAACAAATGTCTCACTCTGGTTTTGTAAACCATAATCTGCGCCAGTCGTAAATAATACCGTGCATGCATGTATCATTCGCGGGTGAGCAAAGTACGTGTAAAATGTAAATATATATAAATCCTTCCCCTCCTCCCAGACACCGTAACCTGAGACTGAGGGATCGCTGCTATAAAAATACTGCAGCCCGAAGACAACCTGCTGGGAAAACAGATGGGTTCAGCAGAAGGTTTTTTCATACGAATAACATTTCATACAACAAACTGCCGGAGAGCACTTCAAGGATTTTAGCTTTCTACTTAAAAGTTTGAAATAAAGGAGGTTTTCATCAACCGACCTGTAGGCTTGAGATACATGAGAGAAAACGGCCATCAGTTTTCTTTTAATGTACAAATATCAACACAAACAAAAGAAAATTACTGCATTTTTAAAGTTTCGTTTCAACTGGAGATTTTTTCACACAGATTTTTAAGGCCTTGGGTAGGTGGTTTTGCATGTTCCAGACAGTAGGTTCCAGCCTACCAATATGTCGTACAGACGAATCTTATTGCCGTATTTTGGAGATAGATATCACCGAGAAGTCTAATATTGCTCGGTACTGCTCTTTTTCAAGATGACGTTGATAAGGTCATAGAACGTGAACATCACATGCATACAAGTCATATTTCTTTCTGCTGCATCACGTCATCAGCCCCTATAAGCCATGTAATGGTCGTACTTCTATCTTCTGTCAGACGTGTACATATATTTATCTTAAATTCAAAGTCACGTGAACTTAAGGTGTACTTGATAAATGCAAGGTCTGGTAGGTCTCGACCCAATTTCCGCAAGCTACGAACATCACAGGGAATTCAAGGGTGAAATAAATGTCTTTCAAAAGGTTTATGCATTTTTTTCCCCGTTCAAGATGATATTTTTACACATTTATACTTGCCAAAGATGTTTAAGGCGAATCAAGTAACCATAGATAAAAGGAGTAATCGAAAATAAAATAGCAATAATCCATATAAACAACTTGATTCTCAAGTTCAATCAATAGGATTCAATGGGTTTGTCGTTTTGTCAATATTAACACCTGTGATACAGTTCTATGTATAGGTAAGTCGTTGTCGACACAGGTGAGAGGTAATTATATATAGGTATACACCAATACATGTATCAGTGACAAGAATTAATGTGTTTATCGACATTTGTCCCTATCCGCCAATACACATTCCTCTAAATTTTGTCTCTATACAGTTAGTAGCTAAGACATCGCTATTTTAGTCAAGCATTTTCGAACTGACCACCATTTGACCACCGGGGCTTCCTGTTATAATGATAAAGACATTAATATCCCAGACGTGTGTCGTGGTAGCTAGCAGACGACACACGCTTCGGGCGGACACTTTACCATGCAAATGTACTTACAAGTAACGCCTGTTTGTATGCTGGTGTTTATTCGACCTTGCATGGTGAACGACAACACATCAAAGGTGTCATTAAAATACCGAACAGGTAAAAGAGATATTTCAAATATTCACATTGCCAAGTACCATTTGACATTTCAGGAATCTAGAAAGAAAAAAACTGTATCTTTTTAAAATTAGATCTGACGAAACTCTGCCCGGGGCTGTCACAAGATGGCGGACAATCCATCTCGTGTCTGTCAGCCTCGCGACCATGCCTGACTGTGGAAAGTGCTGGGCCAATTGACGTCTAGACATCATCACGAGACTTTGATAGTGAAGGACCTATCTCAGTCCATAACAAGTGGTAACTCACAATTCCTTGTAAAATATGACTAGTAATGACATACACACCATCAGGCTAAACCTCAGTGAAGAGACATACAATAGAAAGCCTCGAATGCTTAGTGTTTGAGACTGTAGTGTCATCGAATGTTAAAAGTAGTTT